GGCCTATTCTTAATGAATGCACTCTGTTGGTCAGGAAGTCAAGGATCAAGTAACAGAGGGAGAAGCCGAGATCTACGTATTGGAGTCTGGGCCTGAATTTGTTTGCAATTATGGTGCTGAAGATGGAGCTGTAGTCAATAGGTAGGAGCCTGACATAGGTATCCTTATTATCCAGATGTTCCAGGGATGAATGTAGGACAAGGGAGTTGGCATCTGCCATGGATCTGTTCCATCGGTAGGCAAGTTGCAAAGGATCAAGGCAATTGGGGAGGCTGGAGTTGATGTGAGCTGTGATTAACCTCTCAAAGTGTTTCATAATTATGGAGGTCAGAGCTACTAGGTGGTGGTCAGTGAGGCACACTGCATGATTTTTCTTTGGCACTGGAAGGATGGTACTCTTCTTGAAGCAAATGGGGAGCACTATTAGAGTCTATTAAGAGTCTTTAGGAAATAGAGTTACATAGAGTTCAGACCGGGTAAGGACAGCATTAATGGGATCTTAGAGCAACCCTGTAGTTTCATATTCACGAATATGAGCTTTAAAGCCTAGATTTATTTAATTGTTTATAGTTGTCATGGTAGTAACTAAACTCATGGGCAGGATTCTTCCGAAAGCAGAGATTCCGGCCAGGTTAGCCGAAAAGAGCGAGAGGGGAAACATTCCCCGACCCAAAACTGCTTTCCTTGCAAACAATGGATATGTTCAAGATTTGTGTCCCCTTCTGGAGACGACATCGTATCGAAGAGCTCTGTTGGTTAACCTAGCAGTTCTGTATTCTCAGCATTGCCATGCTTAAGCAGCAGTTACTACTGGGATAACAGGCAGTTGGGATCGGCAATCCAAGAGGTGTGGGTTAAAGGAGGGGAAGGTACGGGATAAACGGGGTGCAAGACCAAAGGACTTGATCTAAAGTGGGTAGTCTCTGAGCCAATTTCTAACACTCCTGACCCCCTCCCTCACCACTTCACACTTCCCACTTCCCAAAAAGCACTTACCTTCCCTGGAGGAGGAACTACATCTGACGGTCCAGGCAACACTGTCCCAGCACAATCTCAGCCTTTGCTGGGGTGCTGCCAAGTCCTGCGGACACCATCCTTTAATTGACCACCAGCTTTAGGTAGGTGGTACTTCCCGGTCTGGATTTGTAATTCAATATCACTGGGTCAAAATTCTGGAACTCCTTTCCTAATAACACAGTGCTTGTACTGTGGTGTACTGAAAATTGTTGCACTGTCAGATGCTTTTAAACCAAGGCCCATCTGCCTTCTCAGCTGGGCTTAAAGTATCCAGTGACAATATTCTGAAGAAGGGCCTTGGGGCTATCCCCATTGTCCGGCCTGATATTTCTCCCTCGATCAACATCAATAAAAAAGTTATTTCATCATTCACATTGCTTTATGTGGGAGCCTGCTGTGTGCAAATTTGCTGCTGCGTTTTCTAAATTACAACAATGACTACATTTCAAAAGTAATTTGTTGAGTGAAGAGTGTTCTTGGATGTCCTGAGGTCATGAAAAGTGCTGTATTTAAGTGAAATTTATGATTTTGTTGTAGAAATATTTTAAGTCTGATTCTGTTTTTATGTTCTCTAGAGTTCAGGAATCTATCTTTGGCAGTGGTGGAAAATGATCTATGAATCAGTAGCTTTCATTTCCACTGTTTGTTTTGTGTTACCCCACTGCACGGATTTTAAGTGGAGGGAGGCAGGGATCTCAGCAGTCAGGCTTGTAACTATGAGGCCCATGCCATTTTAACTTAGTTTCCTTGCTCCTTCAGGAATATTGTGAGACAGAGCTGAGAACAGCAGGTGATGTTTACCTGGGATCCAATAGAATGGTTTCCGTCTTCATTGTGTCAATGATTGGTGGAGGGAGAGTGGGGGAGGCAAATGCTGACTTGTGCTAGCACCATCAAGAGATGGATGAAGGTCCGAGGGGAGGTGAGGCCTAATATTGTCCTCCTGGGGCCTGGAGGAACAGCTCTGCCACTCCTGTTCCACATGACACTCTTAGTGTGTATAAGTTAACCGCTTCTGGTCCAGAATCCACATGCATCCCTCCACATCAATCCATGGTCAGTACATAACCTCTCTCACAAGGCCCAGGGTTAGAAACTAAATTTTAGTGTGGTCTGGGCTTGACAGGCACCAAAAGGACATTGCAGTCTGGCCAAAATATAAAATGATAAAATGGTGGCGAGTGGATCTGGCGAGTATCTTGATGCACTGCTTTTAACAACTACTTTTAACTATATTTTACCTTTAAAATAGTAAAAAAAAAATCCAAAGACACTTTATCAAAAGCATTATCGTAAGAAGTTATGACGTCTAGCCACATGGGAGATATTATAGAATGAGGTAAGTATGAAGGACAGTTTTAAAGAGGGGGAGAAAAGTAGAGACGGGTTTATACAGGGAAGGCCTGAGCGGACGACCATGTAGCTGATGGTACAACTAAAATTGAAGTATCTTCAACAGGCTTATATTGGAGAAACCCAAAAGGGTAAAATAACAAATGAAAATTAGAGAGGAAAATCCATCGGGATGTAACATATACAATCAATACACCATCAGCAGAACTGAGTTACCATTGAAAATGGATTGCTACCCCATAGCTTACAGATGGACAAGTGCAATTTTGAAAGAGAACAAAGAAAGTATACAAGTTATCACAGGAAAATGATGCACAGTTCAAGGCATATAATCAGAGTTGTTGTTTCAATTTCTGAAATTAAATCTTAGATTCACTGGACTGAATCTTACCTTTTTTTTGCTTTAAGTGTCAGTTTGTTATTTTCCTTTGGAGTGGTTTTTACTGCAACGTTGAGCAAGATGTCTCTCCCTATCTCACCCAACTAGTTTCATTATTCACCTACCCCACCCCATGATGCCCCACCCATGTCCGATTCTGGACATTTTCTGACCACTCTCACTATTGCCTGCAACATCATCTCTCGCTTACTCTTATTCCCCCACACACCCCCACATCACTAACTCCGCACAAAGTCTGCACTGCCTGCTCATTTGGCCAGGACACCTCATCACATTCCAATCACCTGCACCAGCATTAACAGCCACACCATCCACTTTCAACCCACTCAATCCCTCACTTTCATTTCAGGACAGGACAGCACAGCGCCCAACAGTGCACAAAGGTTACAGATGGATGGGGGAGTGCCCGACATCAAACTTTTCACCCTCTATGAAGGGGGGAGTCCTGTCCCTTACAGGAGAAGACTGAGAACGTTCCTTTGGAGATGTTAAGACAGCCACAAATCATCAATCAAGTAAGTACCACTCTTCATTGCACTACAGTTCTCACATTAGCCCCACTGTTATTCATTGCACAACACTTCTAACCATTGGCTGCTATGCATCCTCTTTCTTGTGAGTTACAAGTTCCAGCCTCAAAAAAGAAACATTTGAATCTACCGGAAAATACCACCTCAACCTTTGAGACTGAGAGTACTGAGGCCTCAGAGGAAGCGTCGGGAAGGCTGTTTCCTGCGATCCCCACCAACTCAGATACTGACACCTCAGTGAGATTGTCAGAGTTAGTGAGTTTAGGATCACAAGCTGGTGAGCGCCTCTCTGTGAAAGTTGTACACCTGGTTGAGGATGGAATACCCAAGCTGCTCAGAGGACTGCCAGAGACCAGGCACCTGCTCAGCCCCAGGCAAGATTGACCAGCAATGTTAGCAATTAGAGACTTCATCCACGTGCATTGGGAGAAATGAGAGCGGCAGACAGGCACATGGGATGCAATAGCCCTCATAGCCGAGACGCTGCAGGATTGTAGCTACGTTATCGGGACTCAGTTGCTTCAAGTTTCTTTGGTTTTGTTGGAGCTCCACTCATCCAAGCCTGGCGAGAGAATTCCATCACACTCCTGCTCTTGTGCCTTATAGACAATGACCAGGGTTTTGAGGTGACAGGAGGTAAACCAATGGCTGGAGAATTCCTACCACTGATGTGGTCTTATTTTTATTGTTATGGTTGGTTCAGTTCAGTTTCTGGTCGATAGTTAACCCCAGGAGGTTGATAGCAGAGGATTCAGCAATGGTAATGTTATTGAGCACTCAAGCCTCTATATTGTCCAAGTTTTGCTGCATATGGACATGGACTGCTTCAGGATCTGAGAAGTCACAAAGGCTGTTAAACATTGTGCAATGACCAGCAATATCCCCACTTCTGACCTAAAGATGGAAGGATGGTTGTTGATGAGACAGCTGAAGATAGTTGGGGCGAGGACACTGCCCTGGGAACTGCTGCAAGATGATTGACCTCCAACAACCACACGCATCTTTCTAGGTAAGACTTTAATAATATTGCACCAGTTAGTCTATTCCAACAAAAGAAATGTGCTGTAATTTTAATAATCTCTATAAGTTCTCCTCTTATCCAATTGAGTACTGTTCTACAGTGAAGGCTGGTTGGCTTGCACCTCTGTATGAACATTTGGATACATCTTTCATTCCAGACAAATACATGTGGAAGTAGAGGTAAATAAGAGGAAGAAGATACAAGAACACTGTCAGCTGCAAGTCCACCTCAAAGTCACAAAACAACCCAATATGAAATTATGTTGGCCTTTTCTTCACTATCGCTAGGTAAAAACTCTGGAATTTCCTCTCTAACATCACCGAGGTTCAACTATAGCAGTTCAAGAAGACTCACCACCTCCTCAAATGGGAATTAGCAATGGACAATAAATGCTGCTTTGGCATTTCATAATATTATAAGATCTTAAGAAACAGATTGACTTCATAAACCTGCGATTTTTTTAGAAACCATGTGCTGAAACAAATATGCGACTTTGCATGAAAGGAGGTACTGGTTTTGTAATATTACAAACTGATGCCTGTCACACAACCTGTTCTAAAAGGATTATGTGTTTGCTTGGGATTATCAAATGGCACACAACAATTTGGATTTTGCCCCATTACAAGTGAAGCATTTTATTATACAAATTATCAATAGTAAATACTCACAATACCGGTTGCTTAGTTGCCCCATGTGCTGGAGTTCATTTTGGGGTGGTTACATGCACAATTTTGAAATGACTGACCACATCAGTGTACCCAACAACAGCTTCAATGTCTTTGTCATTGAATGTTTTTAAGGCAAAGATAGATAGATTTTTAAACAGTAAAAGACTTAAGAGTTACGGTGAACAGGTAAGTAAGTGGAGCTGAGGCCACAAAAAGATCAGTCATGAACTTATTGAATTGTGGAGCAGGCTTGATGGGCCAGATGGCCTACTCCTGCTCCTATTTCTTATGTTCTTATATTATGTTCTTGCTTTTCTTTCATACACTTTTATGCTTGGCCCCGGTCCATACAAGGTAAATTCATTTAAAGTGTTCAAAATTACCACATCCTCCTCAGTGGGCTTGTAATTTTCATCCTCAGATATTCCCTATGTTTGATCCCCTTGTTGGAATCCCAAGGTGGAGTTTGCTAGTCCCTTTGATTCTACTTGTTATCACGAGCACTATTCTTGCTCTTCAGGCTGGTACAGACAAGCATGTTTATTATTCCCACAAAAGGAGTCTGTATTCTTTTTCTGTGATGCAAAGAGTTGTGAACAGGCATGATTTGTCTTTGCAGAACTTACTAATTTTAGCAAGACTCTGTCTTGGCCAAATAAACCACCACGCATCTCTCACTGCCCATTGTAAGGAATCCTTAGATATCTTTTGTCATGTGTTCTTCTCCTCACTTCCATGCTCCATCTCCACCAGGAGGCCAGCTCCACACCCAGAGTAACACCACAACCGGTTTACATGCATTCATATAAAATGTAGTTACATAGTGAAAAGATAGATGTAATTAATCATGTGTTATCTGATATTTGGCTTAAATTTGTCAACCCAGAATGACACACAAAGGTTGGATTCCTTGCTGAATTAGCAGTTCAGAGATTTTGATGATTTTGGAATATTGCACTCTTCTGCTGCCTTTTCTGAGATGTGGTTGGTTCAGATGCTGCGATTTCTGAATAGATTTGGAACTCGAGAGATGGGATACTTACTTGTTTTCATAGTATTCACGTGGATTTCCCAGTTAAGCTAGACGGCCTTCTACTGCAACTAATGTCTCGTCACTGATGCTACAGGTCGTTGCCTCTGCAAGAAACACAAGGACCATCATCAATAACTTATTTACTCACAACGTGTTGTGCAATTTCAAATGTCTAAGTGGACAGCGCAGTCACCTTCTGAGTCAGGAGGTTATAGGTTACAGTCCAGAAACCTAGTCCTATAATCCAAACTAACATTTCCAGTGCAGTGCAGGTGAGATGCTAAACTGAAGCATCCTCAGTCCCCTCAGGTAGATGGAAAAGATCCCATGACGCTGATTCCAAAAAGAGAAAAGATGTTCTCTCAATGTCCTGGGCCAATATTCACCCCTCAACCAATATCCTGGCCACCTTGCCATTTGTGGAATTCTACTGATAGCAAATTATTTCCCGCATTACAATACATTTCAAAAAGAAATTAATGTCTGTGAAGCACTTTCCTAAAAGTGTTTTTTTGTTCTTTTACCTTTCTCGCACCAGCTCAAGAAATGAACTCTCAGCATTACTGGTCCTAGTCTGTCCCTTTATCTCTCAGGTACAATTCCTGTCTCTGTTTTAGAGGCCCAGGGATTAGAACCCACTCTAGTTAGCACTACTGTGGTTGGAGGCTAGAGCTCTGGCTTAGAATTCTGGCTTCATATTCAGTGGAATCTCATGTAAGATAGATTTTTACTGTCCTGTCGCTATACATTTAAAATATCAAACTATGAGGTTATTCAAAAGGGTTTCTGCACAATGAACTAAAAGTTATGGGAGAATTCGAAGGCTTTCATTGTCTCTGCATGCACTAATTTTTTACACCAGCTTTGAAATATGATTGTAGCTTTATTTGGGGTTACATGCAGGAACCTGCGATTATGCAGTGTTTTTATCTCAGCAGGGGATACACGGCACAATTCTGGCTGAATTGGATTCAACATAAGAGCATTGTAGGGACAGATTGCATAGACTAGGTTTGTATTCTTTTGAGTGGGGATCTGGCAGGAATGTGGAGTTGAGGTAGAATATCTGCTGTGACTGTATTGAATGGGGGAACAGAATTGAGGGGGTAAATAGTCTACTCCTGGCCCTATTTCCAATCTATCTGAATGTAGAAGATTAAGATTTGTTCTCATCGAGGTGATTAAGACATTTGATTTCCTCTGGTGGGAGGAAAGCATCCAAAAGAATTACATGAGAGCAGTATCAAACAGAATTTGACACAGAGCCACATAAGGTAATATTAGGTCAAATGACCTAAAATTGGTTAAAGAAATAGATTTTAAGAACAGTCTTAAAGGAGGTCAAAGAAAGATGTCAAGGTGGAGACGTTTGTACAGGGAATTTCATTTTATCTTTGTCAGCAAAACTGATGTCTTCACATACCAGGTAAAGTGGATCTGCTGTGTCCTTTTATACCTGCAAGAAAATATATAACTGTATTAATTCTCTGTGTGACATTATCTTAGTTAAAAGAACGGCTGATATTGGCATGAGTCTCATTAGAATAAACCAGAAATTGTCGGACACCCTTCACAATTCAGACAGCATCTGTGGAAAGAGAAATTTTCAGAGTGAAGAGTAAAACAGCTGGAAAGAGCCAAGAGGAGATCTATGATAGGGCAGAAGGCAGGAGAAATGACATGAGAAAAAGGATGGTAGTGGAACACAACAACAGGTAACATGGGGCAACTAGAGAAATAAGGGGTGGTTCTAAGGGGAGGTATAAATAGGTACAGCACAGACCATAAGACATAGGAGCAAACATAGGCCATTCAGCCTAGTGTGGCAGCATGGTGGCTCAGCGGTTAGCACTGCTGCCTCACAGCGACAGGGACCCAGGTTCGATTCTGTGTGGGTTTCTGCCAGGTGCTCCGGTTTCTTCCCACAGTCCAAAGATGTGCAAGTTAGGTGGACTGGCCATTTTTAATTTCCCATCGTGTCCAGGGGTATGTAAATTAAGTGGATTAGCCATAGGAAATACAGAATTAGGGGGATGGGTCTGGGTGGGATGCTCGTCGGAGAGGTGGTGTGGACATTTTGGGCCAAGTGGCCTGTTTTCACACTGTACGGATTCTATGATTCTATGAAGTCTACTCCACTGGCCAATAAAAGATCATAGCTGATCTGATAATACTCAACTACATTTTTGCCTTTTCTCCATAATCCCAATTCCCTTACTGATTAAAAGCCTGTCTATCTCAGCCTTGAATATACTTAATGTACCAGCCTCTACAGCCCTCTGTGGTAAAGAATTCTACGCATTCACAACCCTCTCAGAGAATAAGTTCCTCCTCATCTCTCTCTGAAATGTGTAATCCCTTATTCTGAGATTATGCCCTCTGGTCTCAGACTCTCCCCCAAGGGAAACAACCTTTCCACATCTACCCTGTCAAGTCCTTGAAGAATCTTGTATATTTTGATAAGGTCACCTCTCATCATCCTATATTCCAATGAATACAGGCCCAACCTACCCAACATCTCCTCATAATGCAGTCCCTCCGTAGCTGACATCAGCTGAGAGAACATTCTCTGGACTATCTCCAAAACCAGTAAATCTTTCCTTAGATAAGGGACCCAAAACTGTTCACAGTATTCCAGCTGTAGCCTTTTTGCAAGGAGTTTGGAGAACAAGAAAGAATGTCATGGTGGCTCAGTGGTTAGCACTGCTACCTCACAGCGCCAGGGACCTGGGTTCAATTTAACCCTTGGGTGACTGTCTGTGTGCAGTTTGCACGTTCTCCGTGTGTCTGGGTGGGTCAATGCCAGTTGCTCCAGTTTCCTCCCACAGTCCAAAGATATGCAGGTTAGACAGATTAGCCAAGCTAAGTTATTCCATAGTGTCCAGGGTTGTGCAGGCTGGGTAGATTAGTCATGGTAAATACAGGGCAACGGGGATTGGGTGGGATGCTCTTTGGAGGATCAGTGCAGATTTGATGGGTCAAATGGACTCTATCTGCATTGTAGGATTTCAGCGAAATTTTTCGATTAGTGGAAAATAGCCCAAAATATTCGCTAATCTCCTTTAGAGAAGAAAACCTGTCCACTTGGGCTGCTATCGTCTACGGTTTATTTGTTAACACTCTGGTGAGAAAAGATCCCGGGACGTCCTTCAAAGGAGAACAGGGAAGTCCTCCATGATGTCTTGAATCAATATCTATCCTACAAGCTAGTCTGCTAAAATATCTGGTTATTTACAACATTGATCTTTTTGGACAAACTGGTGTTTCCCACTTGCCCTTTAAAGTGACTACATTGACTATAAAGTACTTCGGGCATCTGGAAGTCATCAAAGCTGCTCCAAGTTGAAATCACATATCCATCAAAATAAAACAAAGAACTGCAAATGCAAGAGATATGAAACAAACAAAACAGAAATTGCTGGAGAAACTCGGGTCTGGCAACATCTGTGGAGAGAATGCAGAGTTAACTTTTCGAGTCCACTTCTGAAAAACAGTCACTAGGTTTGATGGTGCAAGCTCTACCAGTCTGATCCCACTTCCCTGTCCATTCCCAATATCTTTCGATAGACAATGGATCCAATTCCAATAGAAAAGACACTCCTGTACCATTGTTCAAGTTTTGCTGAATCCATGATTTCAAAGCCTTGACTTTAGTGAAGATCCCAGGCGTCCCTCTTTTATTTGGGGATTTGTTGCTGTTGTCCTTCCAGCTGCGTCCACAACCCATCCCCCATGATGTCACTCCAGCCACCGTCCAGGCACCTCCTTCACCCTGACACATCAGGGGACCTCCTGAATCACCCTCCAAAAAGAAAAGATACAGGTCACACAACCCACATCACAAAAACATATCATACAGTCATTATCATTATATAGCATTGTGGGAGTCCACTGTGTGCAAACTGGCTGCACATCACCATTAAAACAGTGGCTGCACATATGGGTTGTCAAGCATTCTGGAACGTCTTAAGGTTGCAAAAGGTGCAACAGAAATGAAAATCCTTTCTTGTAAAGAGATCTCGAGAATCAGTGTGAGGAGAAAAGGGCAAGCAACCTTTAGAATTTTTCTTTCCCTTTTATTCATTCATGGGACATGAGCATTGCCGGTCAGACCAGCATTCATTCCCCAAACTGACCTCATCTTTGAGATGGAGGTGATGAGCTGCCTTCTTGAACACAACTGAGAGTTTGCCAGGCTACTTTAGAGAGTAGTTAATGATCAATCACATTGCTATGGACCTGGAGTTATGTATAAGCTAGACTGGATAGAGACAGCAAGTTTGTCTGTCTAAAGGGTATTAGTGAATCAGAAGAGTTTTCAACTGGAACAAGTATTTGTAGATTGTGCCATTCTACAGGGAAGCCAAGTGTTCCATTCTGTATTCCTGCAACACTCCAGGTTTTGGTACTGTGTGACCTTAACAAATTAAAGAATAAATATTTTACAGTTCAGTACCTTCCATGGAACACAGTTTCATAGGATTATCAGAACAAGAGGAGGAGATTCAGCCCATCAGGCCTCCCCTACCACTTAATGAGATCATGGTCGCTCTGTACTTTAACTCCACTTACCTGCGTTATCTCCTCATCTCTTTATAACCTTCCTGGCAAAAATCTTTTAACCTCAGATTTAATATAACCAATTGGTTGAGCATCTAATCCCTCTCATCCACAATTATACCATTCTTTCCATGAAGAAGTTTCCTAAGATCACTTCTGAATGACTTTACTCGGATTTTATGGTTATGCAATAGATTGAGCACAAATGAAAAATGTTTCTTGCTAGCCGCCTGATCCTCTGATCAGATAGGGATCCGGTTTAGAAAGGGATACCCCTGCTCACCACTAGTTCATGCAGAAAACTGCCAGGTTGGCCATTTGACATGGACCTCCTCTACCGCCTGTTGGCATCACAATAAGGCCCTACATGGACCACTGAAGCACCTCAATTGGGCAATGGCAGATGGGTTGCTCATCACCATTTCGGCCACTTGGAGAATTGAGTTGAGGGTAGAGCAAGTTGATATACAGTGGACAGGCCACCCGTTGGATTTTACATGTCACCCTAACTTTAAGCGAGCAGCTGAGTGTAAAACCCAGTCCATGGAGGTCAGATTATTGTTTGAGACATTTGAGTGGCAGGGAGGTTATCAACGCAAACGAACAATGACTCCATGGGTAATGCTGTCTCACGTCTGTGTCAGAAAGTTATTGAGCCAAGAACTACTCCAAAATCAAGTATAAAATCCAGACCAACAATACAGACCAACACAACAGTGTTGATGCTGTCATCTTTCAGATGAATGTAAGAATATAAGAACTAAGAGCAGGAGTAGACATTTCAGCTCCTCGAGTCTGCTCTGCCATTTAATACAATCACGGTTGATCTCATCTCGGCCTTAATTCCACTTTCCTGTCCACTTCTCATAACCATTGAACCCATTACTAATTAAAAATCTGTCCATCTCCTCCTTGAATTTACTCAGTGTCCCTTCATCCACTGCACTCTGTGGTAATGAATCCCACAGATTCACTACACTTTGAGAAAAGTAATGCATCCTCAACTCAGCTTTAAATCTGCCAGCCCTTAGCCTAAAACCATAACCCCTCATTCTAGATTTCCCCACAAGGGTGAACATTCATTCTCAATCTACTTTGTCAATCGCCTTTAGCATCTTTAATGAGACATTAAACTCAGACTCATCAGTCCTTCCAGGTAAATGAAAAATAAAATATCGCCTGGCAGAGGAGCATGGGAGATTTCCCCAGGACCTGAACCAACATTTATTCCTTAACCAATTTAATTTAAGAAAAAGATTATCTGGTCACTTATCTTGTTGCTGTTTTTGGAAACTTGATCTGTGCAAAGTAAATGCAATGTTTCCTAATTTATGATCACAATGACAGTTCAAAAGGACTTCTTTGAAGTGCTTTGAGACTTTCTGCAGATGTTATAGAATGACATGACATTTGCTTATTTTTTGTCTTACCTGGCATGCATCCTGCCTTCCATCGGGGAACCCAGCACACATGAGTGTTTCCCCTTTGAATCTTCTGATCACTGACTGCATCGCCTTTAAACAGGTCTTGAAATCAATCAGGGGAAGCTCAACTTCTTGTAAAGTGTTTGGTAATCTTCCACCTTGAGGATAATGGAAAAATTATCAACAATACTAATCTACACCAGCCATGGTCCACTCAGTTCACCCACTGACGTCTCAGTTGTACCAGATTGTACAAGACAACACAGAGTGTAAAATACTGGTTAGGTTTCAACTAAAGTTCTAAGAAGAAATAAGGTAAGAATGCCCCATGTCTGAAAGGATACACTCTGCACCAGGCCTTTTTGGAATTTGAGATCTTGGGAACTCCTGAACACCTTTTATTTATTTGCTGGCAGAACTTGGGGATTGTATTGAAAATTGCATTGTGTGGTTTGTTCATTTGAGGCTACCATGTACATTTGGACTAGCATAGGGATTTTGCTTGGAAGGCATAACAAAGGATTTTTATATCATAGGCTGTGTAGTTCTAGTGCTAAATGTGTTTAGCTGAAACTGTTTTTGTCCCGAGAACTTGCTCATACTGTTCTAATTCCTAGAGTCTCCAGCTGAGTATGTAAATGTTCCTGTTCCAAGGACATTACAGGCATCATGGGAAAAATGAGCATTTATTGTCCATCCCTAATTACCCTCGAGAAGGTACGAGGGAGCTGCCTCGTTGGCCATTTCAGCAGGAGTCAATCACGTTGCAGCAAAATCACAGATTTCCTTCCCTGAAGCAGATTAGTGAACCAGATTTTTTTAAAATTTGACAATCCAGTAATTTTTTGGTCACCATTAAGCTTGCTATTCCAAACTCATGTAATTAACTGAACTCATCGACAAACTACAACGTTGAGAGATATCACTGGTCAGGTTTTGAAAGCAACTGGATATTCTGCCCCCAAAGTATCATAGGTACTTTGACACCAGGCCAGGACCCAGATTCTTTAGAATCCTGATTTAACAGACCGTTCCTGAGAAACTCCTGATACAATTTATTAGGCCAAATTCCAGTGCGATGTGTTTTTAGCTGCAGGACTTACCCTCAGATAGGCGTCCCCAGCCAGCAGTGCTGCAAATGGTGCCTGTACCAAAGGTGTCATCTTCAGCAGGTAGGCAGGCTGGATAGATATTTTCACCTGTGATGGAACAGCACAAGAGGTTGTCACTGTCTCTCAATTCCTGATTCAGATGAGTCACTGCTGGCTCTAATGTAGTATTCCTGTCTTAAACACAGGGTTGCTTTGTTCAGGTCTCACTCCAGACAGACATAGTAAACACAGACTGCAGCTCTGACAGTGAATGTCTAATTGATGACCAGTAAACATCCCATTTCTTTTGCTTTGGATGAACACTGTCTTCTCTCCATATTATAAAATGTGGCTAGCACATTTTAAGGTACCAACTTCTTAAAATGCTCTGCTCTGAGAGAGAATTCCTACTTAAACACAAAATCTAGGATGTCAGACAAGTGTTTTTTTTCTTTACTCATTAAAAGAACGTATGTGCCACTGCCAGGGCCAGTATTATTGTCCATCCCTAATTGCCCTTGAAAGGTGCTGATGCGGTTAGAAGGTGCTGTTGAGGGAGAGTTGGAGACTTACTGCAATGCATCTTGTCAATGGCACATTCTGCAGTAACTAAGCCCCAATAATGAACATACGAATAAGAAATAAGAGTACGACATTTGGCCCTTCAAGCCTGCTCTGCCATTCAATAAAATCCTGGCTGATCTGATTTTAACCTCAGCGCTACATTCCTGCATACCCCGATAATCTTTCATCTGCTTGGTGATCAAAGGTGTGAAATTGGTGAATGTTTGAAGTAATGGGTGGTGCGCTGAGCAAGTGGGCATCTGTGTACTGAATAGCATCAAGCTTCTTGAGTGTTGTTGGAACTGAGCTTATCCAGACAAATGGAGAGAATTTCATGGGTCTGGCTGGGATGCTCTTTGGAGGGTTCAAGTCGACTCATTGAGCCAAATGGTTTGTTTCTAAAGATTCCATCAGTGTCCTGAATTGTACCTTGCAGACAGTGAACAACTGGGAATCAGAAGGTACATAAAGCAGAATTCCCACCTCTGACCTGCTCTTGTAGTCACAGTATTTATGTGACTGGCTAAGAATATATTTTTCCTTTATCAGCCCTGGGCATTTATCTGTTTTTATTGTCTCTCTCAAGTTGATTATAGGATAGGGGTGAGTGTGGGAGGGAGTTTGGCAGGTTAAAAGTGTTGAATAGTGATACTAAACATCATGATGTGGGACAAACTTAATGAACTAACTAGTTCTGCTGCCCATCATTTCCCTATGTTTGCATGCCAGAGAGGGAAGGGCAGAAAGAAAATTATTCAAGAAAATGTCAAGGAACCCATAATCAGTACCAAAGAAATAAACCTGAGCAAAATGCTGTCTCCATCTTTGGCAACCTACTCAAAACTGACATCTATTTCAAGTCCACCAACCCCCACAGCTACCTGGAATACACCTCCTCTCACCCACCCTCCTGCAAGGATGTGATCCCATACTCCGAATACCTCCGCCTCTGCCATGTCTCCTCCCAAGATGGGGCATTCCACTCCCACACATCCCAGATGTCTTCCTATTTCAAGGACCGTAACTTCCCCACTCCGGTGATCGAAAATGCCCTCAACTGCATCTCTTGCATTTTCTGCACTTCTGCCCTCAAACCCCCTGCCCCCAACAAAAATAAAGACAGAATCCCTCTTGTCCTCACATGTCACCCCACCAACCTCCGTATCCAATGTATCATTCTCCACCACTTCCGCCACCTACAATCTGACCCCACAACCAAAGACTTATTTCCCTCCCCACCTCTATCTGCCTTTTGTAGGGACTGCTCTCTCCACGACTCCCTTGTCCGCTCCACATCCCCCACTAACCCCACCACACCCAGCACCTTTCCCTGCAACCTCAGGAGGCGCTACACCTGCCCCAACACCTTCCCCCTCACCTCCACTCAAGGCCCAAAGCAAACCTTTCATATCAGACAGGGGTTCACCTGTACGTCCATCAACTTGGTCTACTGGATCCGCTGCTCCTGATGTAGCCTCCTGTACATCGGTGAGACCAAGTGTAAACTCGGAGACCGTTTCGTAGAGCACCTGAGCTCTGTACGTGACAAATAGCAACACGTTCCAGTCGCCAACCATTTTAACTCCCCCTCCACTCCCTGGGTGACATGCCCATCCTGGACCTCCTCCAGTGTCACAATGACACACCCACAAACTGGGGGACCAGCGCCTCATATTCTGTCTCGGGAGCCTACAGCCCGATGGCCTAAACATGGAATTCACCAGTATTACAATCTCCCCACGCCCAGCCTCATCCCATGTCCAATGCTCCTTCTCATCCCCGCCTCCTTGATCTGACACAACCTGTCCATCTTCTCTCCCACCTAACCACCCCACCCATCCCAATGACCTATCCCCACCACTCACTATCTGCACTCACCTATCACCATCCCGCCCATCTTCTCCAGCCCCACCCCTCCTCTCCATTTATTTCTGAACTCCCGTCCCCCTCCTCATTTCTGAAGAAGGGTCCCGACTCAAAACATCAACTTTCCTGCTCCTCTGATGGTGCCTGGCCTGCTGTGTTCCTCCAGCTCCACACTGTGCTGTCTCAGGAAGTAAAATACTTGTTCAGATGTAAAATCTGTCATTCTTTTCCTCCAACCCACCCTATTCCACCCCCATCCAAAATGTAACCATTGCTAGATGAGTGAACCAACTGTGTTTTATCAATTAGAGGGCAATTATCATTGTTTATCGTTTACCATATGTTCACTCTGTCAGAATCCTTAGATGCCAAGTTTCTATCCCATTTCAAACTATGTGGTTACTGCAAGGTCAATCTTGCTATACTTTGTTTTAATATGAAACTGTAAAAATGCCTCCCTCCTTATTCATACAATGATGTTTCATTCCGTCCTGACATCTGGGAGTGGCTCTCAGTACTGGTATCAGGGAGTGCCAAACTAGATACTCTCTCAAGCAGCTGGACTAGGTCTGGAACACACGATGTACTGATAAAGAGACAAGTGCCTTACCATAGCTAACATCGGGAGAGATCGAAGATCTGGAATGGAGCCTGGAACAGAGATGTTTTGCTATGAAGAGAGGCTGAATAAGCTCAGGTTGTTTTCTTTGAAGCAGAGAAGGTGGAGAGGTGACCTGATTGAGGTGTATAAGATTATGAGTGGCATAGACAGGGTGGATAGGAAGCAACTGTTGCCTGCAGGTGAAAGGTCAATTCAAAGAGGCATACGTTTAAGGTGAAGAGCAGGAGGTTTAGAGGGAATTTGAGGAAAACCTTTTTCACCCAGAGGATGGTGGGAATCTACAATGCACTGCCTGGGAGGATAGTTGAAGAGCAAAACCTCACAACTTTTTGGGCGAACACTTGAAATGTCACAACATTCAGGCTATGGGCCTAGTCCTGGAAAGTGGGACAAACGTAGACTTTCAGTAGTTTTTGTGGGTGCAGATCTGGTTTTTCTGTCAGTTGCTGCCAAGCCATAGGTATATACCAGTGTTAAATCAGTATAAAATACAGCCGTGAAGGTGAATCTGATGTTAGAATACCACAATGCCACTCTTTGAGAACAACATGTCAAGAAATGAAAGTTGCTCAACTAAAAGTTACCAAAGGTGAAGATGCCATTGAGTTCCAGAAGAGCAATATCATACTCAACTGGATACGCAGCCTTGAATTTGGGATGTATGATAACACGTTTGACCGTTAGTGTTTGTTCCTCTTTGTCCAAGTGTTTCAGGTTATATTCCCCAGCTGTTACCTTCAATATGGACAAGATGTTCCTGAGACCAACAAAAATAAGCACAGGGTATCAATGCAGGGCATTACCGAGGATAAATATCTTCTCGAAAGTTAGAACCTGTAGCAAATAGACCATGCAATAAATAATGCACAGACAGCAGCAAAGAATTAAAGGGAACATTGCTGGTTGGTTTGTTTAAGTTCAGATTTACTGGACACTAACACTAATTGATAACCAGTAAACATTCCATATCTTTTGCTTTGGATGAACACCCTCCTCTCTCCATATTGTAAAATGTGGTTAGCATACTTTAAGGTACTAACTACTTAAAATGCTCTGCTCTGAGAGAGAAGTCCTACTTAAACACAAAATCTAGGATGCTAAATTATGAAGGCAGTCTCTGTCTTCACTCTCAGTTGGATGTAAAAATTGTCAGGCATGATTTCAAATAGACGCAGTGGAATTCTTGCTTGTGTTCCACCTCAATATCTGTCCTTCAATCAACATCACTAGACAAATTGCTTGGTTATGATCACATTGCTGTTTATGGGAGATTTATGATAGGGTGGCACAATGGCTCAGTGGATAGCGTTGCTGCCTCACAGCGCTAAAGATCCAGATTTGATTCCATCTCGGGTGACTGTCTGTGTAGAGTTTGCACTTCCTCCCTTTTTCTGTGTGGCTTTACTTCAGGTACTCCGGTTTCCTCCCACAGTCCAAAGACATACAGGCTACGTGGATTGGCCATAGTAAATGTGGGGTTACGGGGAAACAGTGGGTGGCTAGGTCTGGGAGGGATGCTTTTCAATGGGTCAGTGCAGACACGATGGGCTAAATAGCCTCTTTCCACACTGTGGGGATTCTATGAGATTGCTGTGTATAAAGTAGCTTCCACAATCCCATGTAGTTGCAGTGACAACATTTCAAAAAATATCCAATGTCTATAAATCCCCTCAGGAAATCCTGAGATTGTGGGTGCCACCATAGAGTTACAAGCCTTTACTTCTAAACAAGAATTGTATTTCCTTGTGTTTAGAATATTAGAAGGTGATGCAGTTGAATTTTTTAAGATGATTTAATGTTTCAATGGGGTAAATAAAGAAATTAATTCCTCTGCTGGGAGGAGTTAGCCAAAGCAAAGGAGACATAACTTTAAAATTCAAACAAGACTGCTCAGGGATGATATCAGGAAACATTTCTTCACCCGAAAATTAGTGAAAATCTTGAACACTTTCTCCTCAAAAGCTATTGATGCTGGGAAGTGGGTCAATTGACAGTTTTAAAACTGAAACTGAATGTTGTGATGAGAATGTGGAACAAGGCTTGTACAGGATGTGGTCAAGACAAATAAAATTGGTGCATTTAAAAAGAAGTCACATAGCACATGAAGGAGAAGTGAATAGAAGGTTATGCCTTTAAACCTATCCTTCAATAGATTACTTCCCATTGAGTTCTCCCAGCTACGTTGTTAAATCCTCAATCGATAGGTTTAAAGTCAGAAGTAACAGAAATATTCTCACAAAAAGGTTTTTAATGTTCACAGATTTTAAAATACATAAACTTGTGGTGATTGGAAAACAACTTCAGTGTGTCTATACCTGCCCCGCATGCAATGAGCTGCTGTCAACACCCACTTCTCACTGATAATCGTCCCTCCGCAGTAATGGAATTGACGTCGTTTCAAAGAAACCTGTCAGAGATGTTCAACACCATTAAATGCACCAAGTGTGCACAGAATCATACAGCACTGAGTGAGACTGTTTGGCCCTTCATTCTAATGCTGCCTCTTCAAAAGTTCAACTTGCGTCATACCAGCTCCAGGCCCCCTTTCTCATTTCTTATAGCCTTGTTTTCATTTTCCCCTTTTCAAGTATTTATGCAAATCCATTTTGACAAGGTTTCCACCACAGGTTGAGAAAAGATTCTCCTCAGCGGTCCATTACCAATCGTCTTAAATCTGTGGCCTCTGGTTACTAGCATTCCAGCCATTATAAATAATTTCTCCTGATCTACTCTATCAGGATTTCTTATGACTTTGTTTAACAGCCGTCTTGACAGATACATGAATAGGCAGGGAATAGAAGGATATGGACAGTGTAGAGGAAAAAGATTTTTAGTTTAGAAAAGCATCATATGCCAACACAGTCATGGTGGGCCGAAGAGCCTGTTCCTATGTTGTACTTTTCTTTGACGTGGAGGTGCCTGTATTGGACTGGGGTGGACAAAGTCAGAAATCACACGACACCAGGTTATAGTCCAACGGGTTTATTTGAAATCACAAGCTTTTGGAGAGTAGCCTTTTTGTCCAAAAGCTTGTGATTTCAAATAAACCTGTTGGACTATAACCTGGTGTCGTGTGACTTCTGACTTTGTACTGTTCTTATTTCTTTCAACACCTTTATTACTTTTCACCCTAGCCATCTCTTACCTGAAGAGAATAACCCCAGCTTTTCCAGTGTTACCACATAATTGTTATCACTGTTGCCATTCCAGTAAAAAGTCTATCCACTCTTTCAAGGCTTTGACACAGTCCCAAAAATGCAAAGTCGTGATTCTACCTCAGGCCAACCCAGTTATTTATTTGATGTGGAGTGGCTACAATTAGTTTCACTCAATAAGCTAGTCACTATTTACATTAATAATTTAGATACTGAAATCAGAACTTAAGTTCTAAACTTGCATGTGGTTTACTCAAAATGAGGTGATAATAGGGTGGCATGGTGGCTCAGTGGTTAGCACTGCTGCCTCACAGCGCCAGGGACCTGGGTTTGATTTCACTGCCGGGTGACTGTCTGTGTGGAGTTTGCATGTTCTTCCCATGTCTGCGTGGGTTTTCTCCGGGTGCTCCGGTTTCCTCCCACAGTCCAAAGATGTGCAGGCTAGGTGGATTGGCCATGCTAAATTGCCCATAGCGTTCAGGGATGTGTAGATTAGGTGGGTTATGCGGCATGTGTCTGGGTGGGATGCTGTGAGGGTCGGTGTGGACTTGTTGGGCCAAAGGGCCTGTTTCCACACTATAGGGATTCTATTCTAATAATATGTTTGAAGGACTGCAACAAGTGGCCAGAGTACCCAATAACTTGCAGGCTATGCAAATAATTAGCAAATGAAGTTCAACGCATATCAATGTGAGGTAGTACGTTCTGGCAAAAAGCTTGGGGAGGTCACTTAATACTTGAGTGGTCCAAATCTTGCTGGAGGAGAAGAACAAAGGGATCTTGGAGTACTAATATGTTAATTGCTAAAGGTTGCACCACAAGTTAGCCGGACAATTAAAAAGAAAAACAAAAACCGGAAGGACTGCGGATGCAGTAAATCAGGAACAAAAACAGAAGTTGCTGGAAAAGCTCAGCAGGTCTGGCAGCATCTGTGAAGAAAAAAATCAGAGTTAATGTTTTGAGTCCGGTGACCCTTCCTCAGAACTAAAAAGAAAAACAAGGCTAGCACTGGGATTTATTTCCAGAGTGACAACATTGAGAAGTAAGGAAGTTATGCTAAACCTGTATCAAAACTTGGTTACAGCGCATTTAGTTTACCGCCTGCAGTTCTGGTTGTCATTTTAAAAACAGGACATAAAGGCAGAGAAGGTTTATACAGGCATCCAGTGAATTGCATGGGTTGAGTTGGTAGTTAGGAAGGCAAATACAATGTTGGTATTTATTTTGAGAGGACTAGAATATAAAAGTAGGGATGTACTTCTGAGGCTTTATAAGGCTCTGGTCAGCCCACATTTGGAATATTGTCTGCAATTTTGGGCCTCATGTCTCAGGAAGGATGTACTGGCCCTGGACCAGGTCCAGAGGAAGTTCACAAGAATGATCCCAGGAATTAAAGGCTTAATGTATGAGGAATGTTTGAGGACACTAGGTCTATACTTGATGCAGGTCACAAGGATGAGGGAGGCGGATCTAATTTAAACTTACAGGATACTGAAAGGCCTGGGCAGAATGTTTCCATTAGCAGGAGAGACTGGGACCCCAGGGCACAGCCTTAGAGTAAAGGGAAGACTCTTTAGAATGGAGATGAGGAGAAACTTCTTCAGCCAGAGAGTGGTTAATCTATGGAATTCATTGCCACAGAAGGCTGTGGAGGCCAGGTCATTGATTATATTTAAGACAGAGATAGATAGAATCAAAGGTTACGGGGAGAAGGCAGGAGAATGGGGTTGATGGCCTAATTTCTGCTCCTACATCTTAAGGTCTTATGGTTAACGTCTTCCCTTTAATGTATTTACAAAATATGTTAGGATTCTCCCTAATCCTGCTTGCAAGTCCTTTTTCATGTACCCTTTCTACTCCTCTAAGAGCAAAAGACCCCATGAAATTCATTGTTTAAAACAGTCCTTAGGACACAGTGCATGCTACCTGCCAAGGATGTGTTCCAGGTTCCGACTCTTTGCCTCCAACAATACGATTCCAGAAACTCAACAAAATTGGAACCTCTCCCTGAGCAGGACGAATGCCGCACTTCAAAACTTGGAGAAAAAATGGGTAAGATCGTTAATTTCAGTTTGTTTGTAAGTTGGCAGATTTTTTGGCTCCCAATGGCAGTGTGGTCTGGAAACCACCGAATACATTTATTTCTATCTCTGCTTTTTTAACAACAATATCAGCCTGTTTAATGTAAGCAGAGTGATACCTATTTTCAAAATAAAATTTATCCATATAATTTGTAAAGGTACTGTACACAGTTCAAATATTACACCACATAAGAGCTTCTTTCACTGTAGTAAGTGAGGTCCTCATTAAATTTGCAAAAACGAGTTTAATTTGCAACATCAATTACATTTCAGTGGAATTCTCCCAACCCCCGAATGACATGGGCCATGGTAAGAAAGTTGGGAAACTTCAGTGAGGTGACCAATAACAACTTTAGCAATGTCAAAAACAAAAGGTCCCATTTTCCAAACTGGTTTTGCATGCCAAGAAAAGGTTGTGACTAGTCAGTGGTGAGAGGCCTATTTGCATATATTAGAATGTATTCAAATCTTACTATTACTTCATCACACCTCATTAATTTGCAATTTTTAATTGTCCCACTTGCTGAATAGAAACTAGAGAGTGACCATTCCCAGTGTGGAAGTCTGAGCAAGTATTTAGTGACTCCAGATCCCCTCCAGCTTCTCTGCATTTCCATCTTAGGTAGCCAACACAAACATCTCATGGCAAACTCCATGGCTAGCGAGCGCACATTCCCTATGTCATAGACATTGACATCCGAGATGTATCAGCCTCACAACAATCTCTGATCCACTTACAGTTCTGCACTTGAATGCTGCAAGTTACAGTGTACTGGCACCTCTCAGTGTAACACAGCTGCAAGGACACTTTGCGAGCAGGGATCAGCGTCTGTCCCAGAATTTGAATCAGGATACAGCTCAGGATTTTCACTTACTATTTTAGCACTCGCTCACTTTGTACCTTGATTATGAAGTAATTGAAAGATTATCAGGGATTTGCAACAATGTAGAGGTGAGGTTAACAGCAGATCAGCCATGATCTTGTTAACTGGAGGAGCAGGCTTGAAGGGACGAGTGGTTACTCTTGTTCCTTGTTCATATATTCAATGCTCACAGCATTCCTTGCCTTGCATTTTTGCACTTTGTCCCCTCAGCCAGAACTTAAACACCCATTGAAATCTGTCTTGCCTTGCCTTCTAGCACAGCCACAAATCCAGGCAGTTCCTCAAGGTTGTTAGCAGTGATCAGTCGAGATGTGGATATGTTTCTTTACAGCACCATGCTACATTAATCTTACACGAGCACCGTTTGCCAGCTGCATATGCACCGAACACACTGCATGTGCTTCATCCAAATATTATGTCCCAAAGTCCTCAGCAGTTAGGCCAAATATCACTCAGTAGTCCCCAGCCAGACCAAAGGAAGCACTCTTCAATCAGGGAGCCCCAGCACAATAAGTTAAGGACAGCTTCCAACATCAGTCCACAGGTTTGGTAGCAGTCATTCAGCCACGTGGGGCAACTATTTTCAGTGGGTCTGTACTCCACAGCCTGAGGAATGGGCTTTGTCAGCCATGTGCGTCCAGTGCAACCAGACTGTAGAGTTGCAGGAGATAGGTGAGGATCTGTACCAAGATATCCGGCATGTTTACTCAATGCGTATATTGCTGGGGCAGGGTGTTTGGGTAAAGCAGGGAGATGAAGATTTAGGTCAACAGGATGGGTTGGAGCATGAGGGTTTCAAAGCCTATGTGGTTGATGGAGAAGGCAACTAGGAAAGGAATTTGTACATTTGGAGGTTCACCAGAGGTGGGGGGCTCAGCTTGAGACTCGCTGTGTGAGGATCAACCTCTTTCCTTCCAATGTGTTGTAAACAACAAGTGCGCAATGGAGCTGTAAATGGCTGCCTCCACTCCTGGTTTGGGAAGGGCAAAGCCATTTCAGTCTGTGAGGGAGGAGACTTCAATTTTAAGTGATGAGAGACCCTTCAAAGGAATATGGTATTATACAGACACCCATAACCCACTGCTCAGAGTAGAAATCCTGGCCCAATGTGCTCTTAACCACATCCCACAGCAGCAGGAATCAATCCCACTAATGGTTGCAATACACAAACAATGTTCTGCCATCTGGAAAGGTTCACCCTAGTTGCCAAAGTAGCAATCACTTTCTAAGTTTCCATAGATTGCACATGGTGCAGGAGCTGCTCACTTCACATCTTGGACCATAAAACCTCTTGTCACGCTAGGGATAGCTCAGCTCAATACCTTCAGTGTTGTAGTTTTAGCCGCACTGACATTCACTCACACAGCTGATGGTAAAAAGTGAACAAGTATTAACAAATGCGAGAATTTACTTACAATACTTTGTTACTTGTGCCATCATTGGGTGGCATGGTGGCTCAGTGGTTAGCACTGCTGCCTCACGGTGCCAGGGACCCGGGTTCGATTCTACCCTTGGCCGACTGTCTGTGTGGAGTTTGCACATTCTCCCTGTGTCTGTGTGGGTTTCCTCTGGTTGCTCCAGTTTCCTCCCACATCCCAAAGATGGGAAGGCTAGGTGGATTGGCCATGCTAAATTGCCTGTAGTGTTCAGGGATGTGTAGATTAGGTGGGTTACAGGGGGATGGGGGGTTTTAATGGTCGTTGTGGACTTATTGGGCCAAAAGGCCTATTTCCACACTGTAGGAATTCTATGATCTATGCGTCCTTACTAAGTCTCCTTTCTTTCCCTCACAGTATGTCTCAGAGTAGTCTTGCGGTCCACAGCCAGGGTAGAGAGAGCCTGCTAACCTTAGCATTTTGTTTGGGTGACCCAGAGGGCATGTGTGCCTGGAGGGCCCAAACATACTGAGTGTGCCCCGCCCAGAGGCAGGTACACCCTCCTTGGCTTGACCTCCCACAAGGCCAAGGGTGGGGGAACATGAATGTTTTGGTGCTTCCACAGGTCCTTGTCCTCACTGGTGAAGGCCAAGAATTTCACTTCACAGGGGAAGAGGAGCCTAATTCTGCCCTGTCCAGCCATCCTGGCTCTTTCAGTCCTATTATGGGTCATTTTCTCCTAGAATAAGACAAAAGGAGAGACTGATTGAGATGGGAGTGTGTGGCACTGCTGTTAGTACTAGCAGTCAGTGCAGAGGGTATGTAGGGTTAGTAGTGGGAAATACTAGTAATGGGTGAAAGCTGTGGGGGGATGATGTTGCGTGCAATAGTGAGGATGGTAGAGCATGTGTCTTGGTGGGAGGTGGGTGCAGTAGAGGGAATAGAGTGAGTGTGAGGTAGCAGAAAGAAAATAGTGGCACTTACCTTGACAGAATGGAGAAGTTCATTGGCTTTCTTCTGACACTGCTGTTTGTTTGTCCAGATGGTTGAGATTGCAATGCCCCAAGTGGCAACCTCAGACCAGGTTGGCAGAGTTTAATGTTGTGTCCTCCTCTGGTGGTCCTGGGATAAAAGGATGGACTTTCTCAGCACCACCCTGCCCACTGGGACCTCCACATACATGTCTACAATGCAGAGTGCCAATTTCCCTTATCTTGCATCTTCAGAGCATTTCACAGTGATCATGCAAAGCAATTCTGGACTGCCAGAACTTGACCCGGTACACAATTGCCTTTTAAATATGACACTAGTGTCAGGAATCATGGGAAGTCCTGGCAATTGTGGGTACTTCTGCCTGAGGAAAGTGGGAAAATCAAATGAGTGAGACAGCATAGGGGTCTGCCAGTTGATAACGAGGCGAGGTTGGGACACTGGCATTAGAAAAGTTATTCAGCTATTCTCATGGAGAGAAGCTTCCGTGAGTCTTGATGAAAAGGACATTCAATCCTTCACTTCAATTGTTTCCTGATGCATACAGCCCAAGGGATTTTACCAAACCCATGACCATTACTATCTTGAAGGATAAGGGCAGCAGATACAGGGGAATACCACATTCTGCAAGTTCCCCTCCAAGCCACTCACCATCCTGGCTTGGAAATATATCACCGTTGTGTCACTGGGTCAAAATCCTGAAATCCCTTCCCTAACGTCATTGTGATTCTACCTACAGCAAATGGACTGCAGTGGTTCAAGAAGGCAGCTCACCACCACCTTCTCAAGGGCAACTGGGGATGGGAAATTAATGCAGGCCCAGAGCTCCCAAGTCGATAAAATAAAGCATGCTTTCCAGCCATTTGTTTTACAATGGTGGGAGGTCCTAAGATCATGACTTTTGCCATCGAGCCTTTGTGGCTTATGGCACAGCTTTAGTACATTCTTCAGCATGTAGTCCTGGAACTTGGGCCATGCCAGTCAGTAACACTTCGTCTTCAACAGCTCTTTGCACTGGAATACCAGCAAGTTTCAGCTGACTGAAGACAGTCTTTCATTGATAGTCCTAAAACAGCAGCCGGCTGGTGTTTATCTGAAGGCACGTTCCAGTGAACAACTCATAAAACTGAGAGCCCTGTGTTCTGCAGCTAGTCAGGACAAAAACCTCTTTCCAGGCCTCCTTTCCAAAGACGCATTCCAGAAGGAGGTGGGCGATGTTCTTTAGTCCACATCAGCCACCTTAAGGCCAACTAGAGGAGGCAATGACCCCCACACCCCACCCCAGGGATACAGAAAGGCTGGGACAAGCAGGGCCTTTCTCATCACCAAGTTACAACCTTGTGTTTGTTTGCAAGTTGGTGATGACGCTTTCTGCTAATGACTTGACAATCTGTTTGGGGAACAATCTAACATATCGTCCACCTTGCTTTCCCGTAAGATCTTGTTAATGCCTCTGTTAAATTGGCATTCAGGGAGATGCACAAGAAGTGTTCAAATTATAGCACTTTGGAGTGTCCATGAGACCCAACTACTGAAGAAGGATGAAAGATAGTAGGAACTGCAGATGCTGGAGAATCCGAGACAACAAGGTGCAGGGCTGGATGAACACAGCAGGTCAAGCAGCATCATAGGAGCAGAGAGGCTGACGTTTCGGGCCTAGACCCTTCATCAGAAGGATTACTGGATTCAAAACATTGACTCTGCTTTCTCTCCACAGACGCCACCAGACCTGCTGAATTTCTCCAGCGATCTCTGTTTTTGTTTCAGATCTTCAGCATTCTTTGTTTTATGACATTGTGTTTTTGATGAGCCATCCTTTAAATACTGCTAAACAGTATGATTTCTGGACATTATTTGCAGTTAGGAAAGGTAAACAACAAAGCATAATAATTAACTAAAATTCCTGATGACTTGTCAAAAGGAAAAGCTGTGACAGAGTTTGTTTTCACAACAGCTTATGTGATTTCCTAAACAATTTTAAGCATCACCCCCCACTCCCACATCACTTCCATCCCATTGTCAAGTTTATGGCTCAATGCCAAATCTTATTTGATGTCTGCTTCTGTGAAGCACCTTGGGATGTTTTACAAAATTAAATGCACTAAGTGCAAGTCTTTGTCACTGAAGTAATGAATGCTATTGTCATGGTTTATGTTTCCACAATTTGATGAAGCACAATGTGTGCTTGCACTGAAATAAATATCAATCCCAAGAACATTAAACAATACTGGTTACACATGTGAAACATATTTTGTCAATTACTGTGAAACAAACAATAGGAATGAGCTTCCCATTTTACTCCCTATCCAACTTTCAATATCAGTTAAGGCAAAGAAGGCAATATATAACACAGGTAAGTGACTCACTATCATGAGTTGTATGCTGCACTTGGATAAAGCTTATCTCCGTGGCATCAATATTGAGCATATGAACATTGTATGGATACATCAATTGTTCACCTGTAACTAAAACAATCACACAGGAACAGCGAAACATGCACTTTCTTCTTAGTCCATGATGCTAAGTGTAAAGGAGCCAAGTTTGTGAACAGAGTTAAGGAGGTGACTAGCTGTGATCTAACAGAATAGCAGGACAGGATTGAGGGCAGAATGGCCAACTTATATTCCTAAATTTCCTGATTGAGCATTAGTACCATTATGATTCAGGTTAGTGGTCTGGATCAGAGTTCAAAGCATAACCATAGCAAGCTGCATTAGGCTTAACAAAGTAAGCAGAAGACAGATGAACAGATATGTGGATAGATTATGGAAAAATGGAAAACAACAGCATTGTTGTGGTGGGTGATATTAAATTTCCCTATATTGACTGAGACTCACATAGTGCTAGGGGCCTGGATGGGGAGATATTTATTAGGTTGTTCAAGGAGACTTCTTTGAAACAAAATGTAAATAGTCCAACTAGAGAAGGGCCATACTGGACCTGGTATTGAGGAATGAGCCCAGCCAGGTGATCAAAGTTTCAGTGGGGAGCTCTTCGAGAACAGTGATCATAATTCTGTAAGTTTTAAGTTACCTATGAATAAGGAAAAAAGTAGTTCTCGGATGAATGTATTAAACTAGGGGAAGGTTAACTACTACAATATTAGGCAGGAACTGGGGAATGTAGATGCAGGGTGGCTTTTTGATGGTAAATCCACATCCTGCATTTGGGAATCTTTTAATGGTCAATTGATTAGAGTTCTAGATGAGCACATTCCTGTGAAAATGAAGGATAAGGATGGCAAGATTTGGGAACTTCGGATGACATGAGAAATTGTGAGCTTAGTCAAACGGAAAAAAGTAGTACACATAATGGTTAGGAAACTGAAGGTAGAA